TCGGCTCGGCTGGGATCGGATCGGTTAGACTAGGCTAGAACAACTAATCGTGAATCGCAACACTGTTGCAGGTGAATGTTCTTGCTTTGTTTTATTACTTTACAGGTTGTATTTAATGCAGTTACATTATAATATAAAGATCTGCTAATTTTCATGCGAAAGGAAAGAGATTTTCCATTATACGATTGTATATTTTGTAACATCTTTTTCTCTACTTTTGTAATTATATTACGAAAGTGAAACAGAGAGGCGTTACTCGTATTGTAAAGGACTTTGAAATATCAAATTTTGTATATATTTTCAATAATTACTTATTAAAAATGCATTCAATGCTCACCCGTGTAAATGATTTAATTATTACTTCTGAAACCGGTAGAAATACATTTTCAATGGGAAACGATGTATTTTCGAAGAAAAAAATCATAAATTCAACAGCTCGCGATTACGATGAACGTTGATTAAATGTAGAAAGATTTTTGCAGACTACAAAGAAAAAGTCGAAATTGAGGAAACCTTTCGTGTAACGAGTGCGAACGAATACGAAATAACTCGAGTTCGGTCGAATATCAGTTATAATTGAAGTATTCCAAATTTTCGCGCGTTTTTGAACACGCCATCGGTAACGTTGCCGTTCTGTAGATAATTCATCAAGAATTTCGTTATAGTAGAGAAACTCTTTAATGATTTAATCACGTCAGCTGGAATGACATACGTTTTATATGAAAGATGTCTTACCAAATCACTTTAACGTTTAAACCGATAATTTTATCGGAGGTTTTTTGTTCAGTGAAGAAATGCTTGTACTATTGACCGTTTATGTAACTCTAGTCTAATACTTGTCGCTTCTTCCAACTCATTTCTGTATATACTTACTTACTGTCGGTTATTCGCTTTCTTAGAAAGGAAATCAATTTATTGGAAAGAAAGAAAATAAAAACAGAAAATCTTTCGAAATGAATCGTGTTAAAAAACTTTTATCAAGCAAAGAAACACGAGATTATTTAATGAGGCAAGCCATACAGCGTTTGTACGCGCGTACATGCATTCATCGACAGTATTTTCTCAGTCAGCGACTAATATATTAGAACTGGTTTCATTCATAATCCACGTTTATTCTGTTCAAATTGATTGATCATGTCTGAATACTTGAATATCATTTTCTCATTATTTTGTTTCAGCACGCATTTTTGGGGACCAGTAGCCAACTGGGGTATTCCAATTGCTGCGATTGCTGATATACAAAGAGATCCAGAATATATCAGTGGAAAAATGACACTTGGTTAGTTTGGCATTTTATTGTTTCTATTAGTACAAATAAAACGCTTTTACTGGTATAACTTTCATAAATTCAATAAATCGCGATCAAAAGAAACTTGAAAAATGTTCAAACGTTTATGGAATTTCTATACTTTTCTTTTCTATTTATACATTGTCTTTGACATGCCACGTCTTCTGTGTTATTCTTCTCATAGTCGCAAAGTAGAGTCGAAAGAACATATATATATACGCATGGATTATCAATTATTAAATTTCTCCAAGTACGTACAATAAACCTCTTAAACACTTACATTAATTTCTTTCAGCTTTGTGTTTATATTCTGCAATGTTTATGCGATTCGCGTTGAAGGTGCAACCACGCAACTTGCTCCTCTTCGCCTGCCACTTTGTTAACGAAGGTGCACAAATGACACAGGGTTTCAGATTCATTAAACATCAATTTATAGGCAAGAAAGAGTAATAATTTCATATAATTATTCTCCCATTCATAAATGTACAAACCTCTTGTTATCTTTTGATCGATTTATCATCTGTAACATGCAGTACTGTGTCGCATTAAAATTCAGTAGGCAATTCTCGAGTTACACAGTGACATGTACAGTTTAAATGTAATCTGAATTATTTTGAAACTACTCGTATATTTTGTGCATCTATTTGCAAAGCTCAAGTTCAAAGACATTGAAATCAAATACCAAATGTTAAAATATCTAACGCGTAACACGAACAAATGTTAACTTGATACTTACTGGAAATAAAAATGTTGAAATAAAAAAATTGCAATTGTTATTCTTTTTAAACGAACGGCATATGTTGTATGTCGATCAATATTTTTATCCTATTGGAATGATTAGGGGAAATAATAGAAAATTAATTCGTAAGATTGTACACGTGATGTATTATTAATATATAAAAGGTATAAAATATACTTACAATAATAATCTTTAATGACAATGTTTGTTATGGCATCAGTCTCAACAGTGATGCAATTTGTATATAAAAATTATATAAAAATCGTATAAAAATTGTTCACAGTATTGAAAAAAACGACCATTGTTTTATCATTTGAATATTAGAATATCTAAATATGTATTCCTATGTACGTACGTTTCTCGAGTGTCAATATATTAATTATAGTCTCTCAAAGCGAAATTAACGCTAAAAACTATGTATCTATATTTGGACGGATTATACTGTTCCTAGTCTATCGTAAACGCGTCGAATTAGAAGTCCATGTCGGTGGACGGAATCGGATTAGAAAAACGTATGTCTACTAAAATACGTGTTGTACAATTAATGCCTAATCAGATAATACAATATTACTGAGGTAAGCAACAATATCCAGCTAATTTGGGTGGACGAAGCACCAGCTAACCGACATTTGAACATATCGTACCTACAAAACAGAACAATTAAATCTCTCATTGTTTCTATTAGCTTAGTCGAATATATACATATATCGCAAACGAACAACAATTTCACTGACCTAGTTTCTTGATCGTTGATTAGATTATTGAATTCAGCTTCTACCAATTGACCATCATAATAGGTAATTAGATCTTCGAACGGATATTCAAAACCTTGTTTGCATTCGCATTTGTATCCACCTGTTTCAAAACCTCGGCCAAGAATAGGTACGCACTGTATGGACAAACAAGAAAAAGAAACGGAGTGTTAAGATTTTTGTTTGTTGAAAATGATGTAACTAAATGAAAAGAAAAGAAAAGAAAAGAAAAGAAAAGAAAAGAAAAGAAAAGAAAAGAAAAGAAAAAAAGACAAGACCAGATATGGGGTAGAAATAGAAATAGAAATAGAAATAGAAATAGAAATAGAAATAGAAATAGATATAGATATAGATATAGATATAGATATAGAAATATGTCTCACGTATGATGTTTTCTTATCACACTTGTGGGTACCCTTAAACGCATTTGGAGCGTAGAATACATCGTCGCATTGGTTAATGTCCAGCTGAAGCAGGTCCATGGTAACAGCTACAACGCCTCTGTAAAGATTTTAATATAAAATGCGATTTCGCTTCTTCCTTTTCTTTGTAATGGAACTGGTTTTCTATCCCCGTGGAGTACCTCGGATTCGATCCCGCATACACACAACACGCATACTATAACCCCGTTCAAAATGTCCATATAGGCAGAAATACTTACTTGAATTCCAGTTTCTCTTTCAAACTGTCCCAACCGAAAAATGGGGATGCATAGGTAATTACCCATTTCTTCACTTTGCCGTTACAGTCGAAGTACGGAGTTGTCCAATGGCCGTGATTCAAATTTGCTGCCCTGAGGAATGTTCTCACACATTAAAGTAAGCTCCCCCCAATCTCACGCGCTAAATCCCTTTATACTTTGATTAAACGTTGCATACACGTACAATGTGGACACGTTTATTGTTTCGATATAGAATAAACGCGCGCGCGCGCACACAGTCGCAGCGCTATACGATAATAAAATTTTCTTGTCTCTCGCATTCTTACCTGTAAGAGTCTGGATAGTGTTCGTATTTTTTCAGATACTCTCCAGTTTCGTTGTACCGAATTTTAATTTTCATATAATATTTCTCCAGCTCGTCGAAATTTGTTGCCCACCTTTGTTTCAATACTTGAAAGTAATTTTTCTTTGTGTAGACTTGGTCTGAAAAGGTGTTTGTTCGTTGTGTGCCGTTAAACGGTGAGATTTTATCGAGAAACAGGATTGTTACGTAATGAACATAACGCATATTTACCAGTATCGTTCAGTCTGGCTAAATCTTCGACTTTGAATTTTCGCGTGTTTAGTTGAGTTTTATAAGCGTACGGAGCAAAAAAGGTTCTATTGGTGAACTTGTTACGATCCCAAAATGTTCCAGCAGACCAGATTTTCGTGTCCCCGAGGACCAGAGCTAAAGTTTCGCCAATCATTTGATCCTCTGTAAGGGGTCTATCGGCTACCCTTTTGCCGGAATAAACTTCCTGGGGGTCGGAGATTTGTAGAAATGCGCTAATAAAATTTGCCAATCTCGTCGCCATTTTCGCTTCATTTTCGAAGAACTCTTTCACGCCGAAATCTATATCTCCGCGTAATGTTAATTCTTCTTGCTTGTAACTGTAACCGTGTATTCTCCGCATAAACTCTGAACGATTTCAGGGAAATTCAGAGGGAAGTCGGCAGGGAAACAATTATAACGTACCTTTTGCAAGTTCGTGAATTCACGCTCAAAATAAATTTAAGGGCTCGATCAATGTTCATTTTCTCGGATCTCAGCGCTTCTGGTCCCACAGAATAATTTCTATAATGGTAAAACTGTTCAAGATATTTTTCTCGAATATGTGGTTTCGCTTTTTCCCATTGTACTGGCATTTTATGAATCCCTGAAACATCGAACATGCTCGGTATGTTATATGAAAACATCGATATATAATGTAGCGGAGGTAAAGAACATTGCGTTAAGAAGATAGATTTTACATCCTATCTTGGTACAATCGAATCCATTATAATATTGTTCTTGAGTTGCCCTCTCCACAATTTCTCCAAGATATGGCCGTCGTACTACGGTCGGTAGCCTAAATCCTGGTTTACATCTGCACTGATATCCACCTCGACGGAAACCCCAACCGTGTAACGGTTCACACTGTAGGGTTGAAACAAAGTGAAATTCACAAATAAGTTAGACTGTATTCCAGTTTCTTCCATGTCTAATACCTCGGTGGTTTCTGTTTTGCATCTCGTTGTGTTTGCAAATCTGTTGGGTCCGTTGTTTCCTTTCCCCTTGGGGCACTGATTTATATCTATTCTTTCAAAATCCATCTCTATTACCGATATTCCAGTATATCTGAAACGAATCGCACCAATTATCTTTGAGACTAATATTTCGATAGATTACTCGACGTTCGATTAGGATTTCCCACGTACGTCGGATATTCTATGTGCCTAAAACCTGTATGTCTCGGATAAATGTCCGCGACGGGTACAACTGCAGCGACGAGCCATCGATTCGATCTGCCACAGTCGAAATATGGTCTAGTCCATTTCACTGGTCCAGGATATTCGTCGGCACCTGCATAGAATTGAAGATTAATCGATTAATCTTAATTTATACGTTTCGCTTAGCTTTATTAGTTCTACCGTGCGTAGTATACCTGGTGGTCCATGAAATGTAAAAGTCTCGTTAGTGTTATTAGCGTATCGAATTTCAACTTGGTACGTAGTTTTAGTATCGTGTCTTTTCTCAACTTTGTCCGGCAACCACTTTTTGTACCTAGATTTATAAGATAAACAACACAAAAGAGAAGTAGAAGATCTGTAGGTTTATAGATACTTCGATAAGAAATTTCATTTATTTACCATTCGTTTATGCGATAATAATCGGTAGTATAATCTTCGCTTAGTCTGTCGGTTGCAAACGCTCCAAGATCCTGTACGGTAAACGTGTTTCTCGTAGATATTCTCTCCAAATGTATCTGGTCGTTGAAATCGTCAGCTCTAAATGTTCTTGGTGCAAATCTGGGCATGGTTTTGTTAAAGAAGCCCCTATAAGATGGAGAGTAGGACATATTTGGGGAGAAATAAATAGCAGAAGCATTTATATGTGGATTTGCGGAAACATCGGCGACTGTCGATAAGAAGTAGTACATCATGCCTGGATCGTACGTATCGTTGATTGCTGGACGTATGAATCGTGACTGTAATATGTAACTCCAGAAGAATGATCTAGCAAGTGCCATGTTATGAAGATGTAACAAAGCAGTCCTGTTCGGAAATACAGGGTTGATGTTTATATCTTTGATATCGGGTAAATGAGAGATCGAATCCTCTGGCAAATAAAGGTCCCCGAGATGTTGGATGGGACAATTGTCTTTGTTGATTTTATCCATTTTGAAGCGAATTTCATCGAAAGCATCTCTGGTTTGCCACTCGTATTGGCCGACAACGCCCAAACAACAGAGACACACGATCACCGTTACATAGATTTTCAAATTAACGCATTCCATGTTTTCGATGGATTATTAGTCACGTCCCGATATCCGTAGCATTATTGTGTACCGATCCGTTGAAACGTAAACAAGAGCAAGACAAGATAAACGAGCTCGAAACGAGAGGAAGAGAACTGCTATCCCCGTGACACGCAACTTTCGTTCACATCCCACGCCGCGTTAGAGGCACATTGAGAAACGCGTAAACACACCCAATCCGCTTGAATCGTTTTCTACGTTCGCGTTCTGCTTCGAATATCCTATAGGCTACATGTTGCTTCGGCTCTGACGTCATTGATCCTATACCGAGTTTAATGTAACTTTTCTGCTGCGAGAACAACCGTGTAAATGCTAATTTCTAACGCAACTGCATATTATCCTATTAAATGGAAAGTGAACAATGAAAAATAACCTAATTCAAACGACTGACCGATCGAACCGACGCGAAAGTAACGAGTATTTCTGTTCGGTTGTAGGTTAACTGTTTCTCAGTGTCCTAGAGGTGAAAAAAGGAGAAAAATTGTATTTCAAGGTATATACGTTTACATCAGTCTCGGAAGAAGAAAGAGAAAAAATTAAAGTATAGTTTAATGTGAAATAATATTTAAATATCTTTTATCATGATAATTCTCATAGCACCTTGGTCCAACGACCCCCGACCCCTCCACCCGAGACTTGACTCGCCCAAATGTACGTACGAGTATTCCGCTAGCTGCGGTATTATTGTCCCAATACAGGTTCACCCTTATTTATCTGCGAAAAAAAAGAGAGTCTCTCATACCTAAACAAGTATTTCGAGGAGACAACTTGCTGGGGGTCTGCTGGAGCCTTAATGCGCCTACCGTGCATGCATCTATATCCTGAGAAAATTTTTCTGATGCATCGTTCCCGGTTCAACTCTTAACGTTAACGTGGGAAATATTCTCCAGAGGAGTCTTTAGACATATAATTTATCGTCGCTGCATTTTCTTATGTGACAGTACAATACAATGTTTATATAATAATTTTTAGTTATTATTACGACTATAGATACAATAATTAAGTGTAATGTCCACATTTAGAAGCATTTTCCATTTTCCATTTCCAACTCTCGTTTCTGTATCTATTGAATTTACGCTCTTTGCCTTTTCTCAAAAGTTGTACGTAATTTCACATTGTATACAATATTTTTCATATGATAATAATCTGCAAAAGTACTGGTTCAGATGTTACCATTTCAATGTTACAAATATCTACATAGAACATAAAACAAAGTAGTAAGATCTAAAAGCAAATGAGGAAAAAAAACATAATTAACGGGTAATAATGTAATTTTGTAATGTCGAATGAAGTAAGTTGATATATAGGTATTTTTTTGCTTTAAAATGCCAATCTTTTATGACAGTGGCTCCAGAGTCGAGTAAAAAGTGCATTGTCTGTAGAGAGTGCTGACAGCTAAGTAATGAGAGATAGAAAACGTGGGGGAAGAAGAAAAAGAAAAAA